AAACGCTAAAATCTGCGGTCCTGAGCTTATCCCTCGGGCTGGGGGTGTGTTCTGTGCTCGGGCAGTTGGTTTAGCTGTGGTTTTGGGTTTTTATTTTTCGGCAGGAGGATGGAGGGTGCCGCGGTGAACCTGCGGGCTCTGTACGAGCGGCTGGTGCGCCAGGCCGAGGTTCTGAGCGAGGGCAACGAATTCCGTGAGTTCTGGCGCCGAGCGACCTGCGGAGGGCGCTCAAAACACTCCAATTTGGGTGGTTTTGGTTGGTTTTGTTTTGGAAAACAAAGCCCCGGGTGGAACTTTTATCCGGGTTTGTGCAGGGAGGGGGGGGGGTCTCGTGTTCCGGCTCTCGGGCCAGGAAGGGCTGGGGCTGGAAAATGGGATTGCTCCTGGAACTGTGGTTGTGGTTATGGGGGTCCAGGACATCAGGAATTTCCTCAGGGAAAGGGTTGGAAGGAGCTGCCCAGGGAGGTGTCCAAGGAAGGTTTGGGTGTTCAGGACATCAGGAGGAATTTCCTCAGGGAAAGGATTGTTGGACACTGGCAGGGGCTGCCCAGGGAGGTTTGGATTCCCCATCCCTGGAGGTGTCCAAGGAAGGTCTGGATGTTCAGGACATCAGGAGGAATTTCCTCATGGAGAAGGTCATTAAACACTGGCAGGGGCTGCCCAGGGAGGTGTCCAAGCAAGGTCTGGATGTTCAAGACATCAGGAGGAATTTCCTTGTGGAAAGGGTTGTTAAACATTGGAAGGAGGTGTCCAAGGAAGGTCTGGATGTTCAGGAGGAATTTCCTCAAGGAAAAGGTTGTTCAGTGTTAGAAGGGGCTGCCCAGGGAGGTTTGGATTCCCCATCCCTGGAGGTGTTCAGGACATCAGGAGGAATTTCCTCATGGAAAGGGTTGGAAGGAGCTGCCCAGGGAGGTGTCCAGGGAAGGTCTGGACGTTCAGGACTTCAGGAGGAATTTCCTCATGGAAAGGGTTGTTAAACATTGGAAGGAGGTGTCCAAGGAAGGTGTGGATGTTCAGGAGGAATTTCCTCAAGGAAAAGGTTGTTCAGTGTTAGAAGGAGCTGCCCAGGGAGGTTTGGATTCCTCATTCCTGGAGGTGTCCAAGGAAGGTCTGGACGTTCAGGACATCAGGAGGAATTTCCTCATGGAAAGGGTTGGAAGGAGCTGCCCAGGGAGGTGTCCAAGGAAGGTCTGGACGTTCAGGACACCAGGAGGAATTTCCTCATGGAAAAGGTCATTAAACACTGGAAGAGGCTGCGCAGGGAGGTGGTGGATGGATTCTCCATCCCTGGAGGTGTCCAAGGAAGGTGTGGACGTTCAGGACACCAGGAGGAATTTCCTCAGGGAAAGGGTTGTTAAACATTGGAAGGAGGTGTCCAAGCAAGGTCTGGATGTTCAGGAGGAATTTCCTCATGGAGAAGGTTGTTCAATGTTAGAAGGAGCTGCCCAGGGAGGTGGAGGATGGATTCCTCATTCCTGGAGGTGTCCAAGGAAGGTCTGGATGTTCAGGAGGAATTTCCTCAAGGAAAAGGTTGTTCAGTGTTAGAAGGAGCTGCCCAGGGAGGTTTGGATTCCTCATCCCTGGAGGTGTCCAAGCAAGGTCTGGATGTTCAGGAGGAATTTCCTCAAGGAAAAGGTTGTTCAGTGTTAGAAGGAGCTGCCCAGGGAGGTGGTGGATGGATTCCTCATCCCTGGAGGTGTCCAAGGAAAGTCTGGACGTGGCACTGGGGGCCAAGGTGGGGACAAGCCACGAGTTGGCCTCGGTGATCCTGGAGGGCTTCTCCGACCCCCAGGATCCCGGGATTCACCCTGGGCACCTCAAACGGGGCCTGTTCTCCTTCCAGAGTTCCTCCAGCTGGCCAAGAACTTCGAGGAGTCCCGCAGGAGGTGGCAGAGGACGGAGCAGGAGCTGGGCAGGTACAAGGACCTGCTGCTGAAGACGGAGGCCGAGCGCAGCGCCCTGGACGTGAAGCTCAAACACGCCCGGAACCAGGTGGACGTGGAGATCAAACGCAGGCAGAGGGCTGAGATGGACTGTGAGAAGCTGGTGAGTGAGGCCCTCTGGCACCTCCTCTGT